TAATTAAAAACGACGAGGCGACGCCGTGGATAAGAGTCGACCTGGCGAAAGGCAAGTTAATTAACCGATTTGTTAAGTCGAAAACAATCCGTGAAAACCATCGTCGTTTCGACGTTTGTTCCCGTGAAATTGTGTTGTAATGATATTTGCCTCGATCTGAGGTAGAAGATACGAAGAGAACCTTGATTTAAATATTATCGTAGAAAATTTTGGTTTAAAAATTAAAATGTTAGTTTAGTCGAATTTTTGCGAATGGAAATTCGTAATATTTCGTAATAAAATAATTTTGGAAATGATCATCGTGCGATTTAAATTCTTTTTGCGCGTTAATGAACATATTTCCATCGAGAATCACGTTAGAAACTTAGTTACACTTAGACACAGCGTTAATTTGATTCATCAAAGAAAGGAAATCTCTCTCGAGTAATATCTGCTTCAATCTCGTCGATCGATTGGTTGATACCGAAGATAAAAAAAAAAAAAAACAGAAGCGAGTAAGAAAATCCAATAAGCCTGGTTCTGACGGATAAGGAAGATACGGCATTGTTTCGTTGACGTGAAGATAAAGCGGGGACTCGCTTAACCAATGACGATAACGAGTCAACGAGGCAACCACGAGAAAGGAAGAAAAAAAAAAGAAGATTGCGATAGGATGAATATTTTAAAAGATCGGCCAATAACACCTGGCTCAGTGGATGAATGGAAGGAGACGGGCATCGAGGATCGGCAATGACGAATTCCTTTCAATATTTCATCAGTTCTATAGACTACGGTCGGTGCTCTCATTCCTTATGTTCCGGATCGATCGTCTTCGGGACTTCCGCTGGGAAATTCATGATTAAGCGAATTCAGAGTGGAACGATCGCACTGGGATTACGATCACATTCGATTCTCGCAACTTTATCCACCAATGCTTAATCGAATATCCCCTTTGAAAGAAATCAAAATTTATACCGTAAAATCCGCGATCGAAACATTTATTAATATTTGAATCGAATAACTAAAAACTAAACCAATTTCCTTTGGAAGAAATTCAGAAAGAAGGGTATTATGTTATTTTATACAAAAAGAAAAAATTGTACTACAAAATCTATACCACGATGATCGAAACGTACATAGGAATATTTAAATGAAAGGAAAAAGAGAGAAGAAAGTCTAAGTTGCAACGCTTCCCCTTCCGGAACTGATCGCGAGGTTTACTCCGAAATTCAGTGCACCGATACCAGCCGAGGCTTTACGACAATGTAACATAATACGAAGTTCAGTGTCGAAGGGCTATCGTTTTACGAACCGACACCCGATCTTTCTCTTACCGAGAAATTAAACGCCTCCGATTAGAGAGGCGATCGCGAGGACGAGTTCGATTCGGTTCTTATCGGTTCGTGTCATGGGAAACGGGGGCGTCTCGATTCGCACGAAAACACTGCAAACGGTTATTATCCGTGCGCGTTAACGGGAAGAGGAAGGAGGAGCGTGGAGGTGGAGAGAGAGAGAGAGAGAGACGAGAGTGAAAACAGATAGGCGGAAGAAAAATGAGGCCCCCCGGATGATCGGGTAACGCGCGTAATCATTATTACCGTGGTCGCGTTTACGCGAGCACGATGACGAGGTGGAAGTTTTCTGCAAATGTCACGGGAGAAGAGTCGGGAACGGGGCTGGCCACAGCTGTTTCTATAAATAACCAACCCCGACTCCGATGCAACGCCGCCAGATTCTGCATCTTCTCTCGAAACCGCGCCGGCAAACTATGGTTATTGACCCTCAAACACACACGCCACCGCCTATTTTCGTTTCGTGAAAATAATGAAGAAGCCGCGTAATTCATTACCTCGTAATAAGAATCCCTTCCTATCCGTTTTTCTTTTTTTCTCCTGGAGCAAGCGAGATTTATCGAGTCGAGCAAGGGTGGTGAGATTCGTGAGCGATTGTATTCGAGGGAACGATACGTTTACAGGGACGGAGAAATTTTGCAGAAAAGTTGCATCATTCGAGAAACAAAAGTGATACGGTCCGGCGACGACCGGATGCAATTTGCGGTTTGTTTCGGGACACTTTCATACGATGGTCGGCGAGATCAAAGGCTCGTTAAGAACGTATTGCCGTGAAACTGAGGCAAAATGAATTCAGAATGCTATCCGACCGCGTTTCCTCCCGCGTTTAATCGCGCGAGCGAGGGTGCACTGACCTTCGATCGGAACCGTTTTATAGATGGTAGTAATATGAAATTACGGTTGGTTCCCACTGTGACTCGAGCGAATAATTTAAAGCTGAGGTCTGCCTTCGGCTAATTGGCAGTTTAACCTCACTTTCCTGTCCTCGAATGAAACCTGCTCGAGAGGAACAAAGATTCAGGGAGAAACGGAAACGTTAGAATCGATAGAAAAGGAAAAGGCAAATTGTAAAATAATCTGTTCGATACAAGAAGCGATGATCTTGAACGTTCAACAAATCTGAACCAGATATCTGCCAGATACGATAAGAGAAAGAAAGAGAGAGAAAAAAAACAGATAAAATTTATCATCCAGATCATTCTATTGTCGATCGAACGAGCAACAAGATCCAGGAACCTTTTCAAAATCGGCCATACACACAATGTACTATTTCAAAGCGTGCGAGATATGATATCGGAGGTGCTCGTCCTGCAATCGTTGTGGTACGGGCTCACGTTCGATACCACAATCTCTGGTGGACGATCGACATCCGAGATTCGGGGAACGAGCCGTTGCATCGCGTTTTATGGCGCGTTTTACTCCGGTGTTGTGCCTGACCATCGGTCTTCTCTCCTCCCATCGTCCCTCCGCTCTGCCTCTCCTACTCTCCTGTCGATCCGACCGGCCGCGCCGTCTCTTTTCGCCGTAAAGGAGGCTCGAGCAGCGGTGCAGGGTCATGGCCGGACATCGTCTGCCATACTCTCGCCTCTACACCCACGCTACATCTGTTATACTCGCCCCCTTTCGCTCGCTGCACCCTCGTAAACCCGCGTTTCATTATGCGCCGAATATAAGTTACCGCAATTTACGCCTCTGGCTCGCTCCTCTCGCTCTTGTTCCTTTCTCCCTCCTTCTTCCTGTCTTTCGTTTTCTCTACGTGCAAGAATCTTTTCCTGTCGTGTCGTGTACCCGAGTTGAATTTCTCCGATTATTGGTTGGAGAAGAACCAAGGAGAAGAGAAGGAAGAATCGATGGATAAGGTTGAAAGTAAACGCTAAAAGAGATAGAAGTATAAGATACTTAGGATGAGAGTTAGAATTGCGATAAAAATTGTTTAAATTTATAACAAATTATACGAAGTTATTGTATTTTTTAGTTAGCTTGCATCTAATCTTATTTTGGATAACGTTATTATATTTGTTAATTGTCGTTAGTTTCAAACAAAGTTACGTTATTATTTGTAACACTGGTCGATAATGTTAGCGAAAAAAACGAATGCAAATTTGTCAGCGAATACAAATTGTTAAGAATTCTCAGAAAAGGCGTCAGAACGCGTCCGAGGATCAAGGACCTCGGAGAGGAGGACATTGAGACCGAAATCGAATTAATCACGCGAGAGAAACGGCTAAATGTAAATCACGCGATGACACGAACGTTTCGCAATCTGTATGGTTCTTTTTTCGTTTCGCGAAATCACGAGAGGTGTCGAGATATCTCGCAACCATCTCGCGATGGACCGAGATTTTTCGACGCTGAATCACGGGATGTGAACGACCGCTGTCAAATGTATCAGAATTTTCGACAAATGGTGCAACAACAGTCGACGCGAGTCAACGACCTGGACGAAACGACGATCTCTCGCGACACGTTCGTGTGCGTTGCGAATCCGAACAAACACAAACGAATACAAAGTGAACTTGTCCAAATTATACGCCTTAATTTTGCCAAATTTGTTTCGCTTTCTATTCATTTATTTTTTTTCTAATCTACTTCCCATAATTGACCGATTTGACCGATTAAAAGAACTTTACGATTTGCGATTTTTTCAGAAATTCGATAAAAATTGTAATTTCGTAAGTAATCTTTTGAAAAGGAAACAGGATGCAGAGCCGCGTTGTTCCACTCGAAAGTGATCCGCGTTGTACCGCGCGACAACCACGTGTTGCATTTCTACTCGATACGCAACGTGCTGTCCTACTCTCGAGTGTGTGTACGAGAATGCTCCTTGTGTATGAGAAGTGGAAATTAATTGCGTCGCACGTATTACAAATTCAAACGCATTCACAATTTATTGAAAGTAACAATTTTAGATTTGTGTTTACAAAATGAGTATAACAAAAATAATGAACATGTTTGAATAAATAAACAAATAAATAAAGTAGATAATAAAACAAAAAGTAGATAAATAAATAAATACAAAATACAAAAAGAAAAAAGAAAAAAGTTTAAAAAAAAAAGTTGCAGTTTTATCACATCTGCTTCTAAAATAACTAAAATTGACTTATAAATTTTTCACATCAAAGTGCAGCTTCGATGTTGTAAATATGTTAAAACTAATATATTTGTAATGAGAATTATATTAAACATTTTATTTTTTTTTTCTTTTCTTGCTTAATATCTTTGAATGACTAAATTTTTTTTGTACATTTTGATATGTTTTTCGACTAGAACAACCAGCCCCCGTAGACGTAGTTAAAAACGTCTCGCGGACGGTGTCGTCAGTCTCATACAATTGCATCTAATCGGTTGCCCTTGTCTTCTAATGCATCTTCCTGAAAAGCCATCGGATAGTACCATAATAAGAACGTTATCTGTATCCAATGGATACATCGTAGTGATGAGACTGATGCCACATGAGAAAAGAAGAAAAAATGCCCGTAGCACGTGACAACGAGTTGCGTGACCATGTAGATTATAATGGTTGTTCCATTTTGTTCAAGAAGACTCAAAGGCTGTTGCCACGAACAAAACAACTTGTTCATCGCAATGGATCGCTCGTAAGATGTGTAAGGATGCGGACGAAAATCTCAAGATAGGTGAGAATGTGTCTTAAAAATTCGTTGAACTCACGATTTCGTGATGACGGATGCTGTGCTGTCCTGCTTCGAAGTACCTGTTGCAGAGCAGCGTATAGATCGAGCATCAATTGCTCCAGCTGCTGTGTTTGAGTTTCCGCTTCGTCGTCGGAAGGCAGAGCGAATGGAATCGCCATTTCTTGATGATTGGCAGATGCAACTCTTGAATTACTGCTCTCTTCTCGTCGACACTGTAATCGAACCAATGTCCGTCAATCAAACACTACCACTTTATCGATCTTTTCAATTATTTCTATTCTTCGCTTCTCTTCTGTTATTATCGCACGCACAGAATCGATTCGTGATTTGAAGATTTTAAGAGTCAAGGGATCGCGAGCACGTTAGCTCCCGATTCTACACAAAATGTATTTTCGTGGCGACACACGTGACTTTAGGTTTCGACGGCGCACGCTCAATGTTCGTCGCCACAAAGACTATTGTCGTCACCGATTGTCCGTAGAGAAAACGCACGTGGTCAATGTATAACACTACGCCAACAAAAGTTGACGAAAATTGTTACTCACGGATCAACGATGATCGATTAAAACGAACGAGCACACGATCGACGCGTATTTCTTAATTACGTCTTCTGAAACGCCTATAAGGTGGATCCTCGAATGGATCACTTTCCATGGGTGGAAAATTGTTCGTGGCCGAACTTAATCGATTATCGAACACCGTTAAACGGATGATCGAGATTCACTACAATTATCGAAGATCGTGATAGACGGCGGTGCGATCGCTCGTTCGACAGTTTCCACTGAAAAGCACCGATGACAGTTCGAAAACGTCCCACGGGACGATGGCACAAAGTTCAATGTTCTCTGATCGAAAGATACACACGATGCACTCAAAGTTTATCGACAAAAACGTAAATTCGCTTTCCTCTTATACGAGCACAAACGGAATATCCGCGCGAGAGGGAAGAAAGCAGGGAAACGATCTGTTTTCTCTCCTTTCCCTTCGTCCTTTCGTTTCGTTCAATTCTCATGCACGTACAGAGTACAACACGTTGCGTCTCGCGACTGTCCTCTTTGGCGCGACTATCACACGTGTATATGTATCAAATGTGTAAGAGAGAAAGTAAAGCGACACGAGAACTCTCGACTGAGCTTAGGTAACGAGAAACACGTCTACACTCCTCGAGGTCTGGCTTGGTAATGATTCTGTGCTTTCGTTTCATCCACTCGGTCCGCACGTTCTGCCTTGCGGCGGCAACCGACTTCCCCCACCATAGTTGCCTCGCGCGGCCGGTTGCCCTACTGTGGTGGGGAAGCGATGCGCGCGCATCCGGACTCGAACGATGCGAGGAAAGGAAGAAAAGAACAGTCGCTAGTGGGGTCGAGTATGTGTGAGTTGTGCGAATGTGTGATCGTGTGCTTGCGCGTGGTTCGTAGCGTTGTAAATTTACCGGTTAGGGTCAAGTAGGGTAAAAAGATGGAAGGAAAATCAAAATCGAACGTGGTATCATATCCCGTGTTCCATGCGTCGACGATACACCGATTCGATACATCAATAAGAAGGGAAGCGATGCGGAAGAAGTTTTAGCGCGCGTCATTTTTCCAGGTTCGCCATGTTTTTTTTAACCTTATCATCTTTCTTTTGTTCTCCTTATTACGTTCGCGTTTAAATCGCGTAAAGGAAAAGGAATCACTCTTTCAAGGATAAGAGATTTTCCTTTCGAGCATCCGATACGAAACGTTCGTGAAGGCATAGGCGAAGCAAAACGTGTAACATGTAGCAATGAGATCTCGACAGGAGAGAGAGTGAGAGGGAACTCACACAACGAACGACACGCTTGTATGTACTTCGGAACGGTTCGTAAAAGCGCGTATGACACGATGGAGCGACACCCGAGCGTAACTGCGTAGTTTCTGCGAGCAACTTCACGGGGGTAGTTGAAGGAGTTTTGTCAGTATTATATTTTCAGAAAGTGGAATTGTGACTTCGTAAAGTTATTAACGATCATTATTGAGTAACTCGAATGATATCTGCGTATCGTTTACGAATTATTATACACTTTCGGCCGCCATTTTTGCAATGAAACAAAGCATGAAATAGATACATCGATATATCGATTCCGAATTACAAATAAATCAAATTTTGCGATATTTTTCGAAGATTCGATTCGAAATATTCGTAGGATCATGATACTTGAATAAGTACAATTTTTTATACGACCAATAAATGGGTAAACGGGAGGAGAAACAAGAATACAATGTGCTTTTACTATAAACGCTGATTCACAATGCATATGATACATCCAACATTACTAATTGTAGAATGAAACCATATAAATAAATATCGGTATATTACACTTTAGAGGATTAGAAAACAAAATTAAAAGACTAATAGAATCGAAAATTTACATAATAGAATATTTTATGTTATCAATTATATATATATATAATATATATATATATATTCGTATTCACTTTATTATTTTATTTTTATTATATTGAGAAATACAATTTCTATATAATATAAAACTATTAAATTATTTGTTTATATAATTAATTAATTAATTACTAACTTAAAATTAAAAAAAATTAAAAAAATTAAAAAAAACTTAAAATAAAATGAAAGAAATTAAAATTATATTATCGAATATATTCACAAGCAGACAAAATCTATAACCAATTATCGCTATATATATACGTCGTCAAAACACTCGAGTTTGATCATTACTGCGACTAACGCACTACAGGAAATTCATTCTGTCTGTCCTTATACAAATTCTCAAACTTCTATCTAGTAGTTTCACAATACCAGTTTTACCGAATAATCATTTTTCGCGATTCGACTTGCAAATCCGCGAATACAAAAAGTCAAACGAAAGCAAGGAACATGCGAGGTATACGCATACGTGTTATCCTAAGTACGATGCACCGATTCGAACAAGCGATCGAGCGAGAGAGCCACTCGAATCAGCGAACGATCGAGGATTATCTGCATTCACCGGGGCAAGTTGACGACAAGGCACAGGAGGAGAATAGATTAATAGCGGGAACGGCACCCAGAGATATTGTCATTGGATATCGGATGAGAGGGAGCGAGGGGGGAGGAGAGAGAGAGAGAGAGAGAGAGAGAGATCCATAAGACAGAAGGATAGATAGAGATATGTAGAGACGAGTTAAAGGCTAGGTGAATATCCTTCGTATATCGGGGATGGCGTTACAGAGAGATGACATTACCACCGCGGACGATAGAAACTGGAATCGACGAGAAAAGTCGTGATGGTCCATCCCGATGGAGTACACCACATCGATATCGATCCTTAATTTCGAAGGTAGGCGGCAATTTCACGCGATTCAATAGTCTAAGTACATGCATTCGCCGCGCATTTAATCAAATTCGCGGACGTAAAAAGATATTAATCGATTGGATCGGCGAAACGTCGATCGAAGAACGCGAACAAGTTTTCCATCCGGTCGCATCCATTTGTCCGTCTGTCGGTGATTTATGACCGGCGTGTAGATTTTATTGGGATCTTAATTAGACGGTAATGTTACGCGGCTACCAAGTTACGTTCGCGATTGTTATCGTTTCTTTGATTTCTTTTTGCGTTCGAACGGTTAAGGGACGAAACGTTAATATCGAATATTATCGAGAACGAAGATAATGATAGATAAATGAAACAGTAGAGATACTAACGTTTTAATTTTGTCGATTCCTTACTTCTTTCTTCAAGCAGATTCCTTCTGAATACCAATTGAATTATCGTTCTATGGCCTTGTTTAAATATGAACAGAACATAAAAATTATTGTTTGAACACTTATAGATAGGAGAAGATGAAGTTTGCCAACTTATACAAAACTGTGTGATAAGGTTTGCTATTTTATCAGACTACCAACCGACTCTTCTGCTCTCGTATTTATAAGGAAATCGTTATCTTCTTATCGGAAAATTATCGATTGTTAATCGCAACAAGTAAGCAAGAAAATATATTATAAAGAAACTTTATCATTGTATTTTGCAGTTGATAAAGTTAATAAATTCTGAATATAAAAATTCAAGAATTAAAGAATCAGAATATTTTCCCCTTCTTATATGATTTCCATTTTTTTGAAATATTCTCTTTCTATCTATTATTAAATCGAATATTAATATCTATGTACTTTTATTATATCGCCATTTTTAAAATTGCATTTTTTTTTTAACTAGTATCTCTCATTTTTTTTTTTTTTTATTACAATCGTATAAATTCTTACTCAGGCAGTTCAATACACGATCCATCCGCGATTTCGACAATATTCACGTAAAAATCTAAATCATCTTGCCTACTCTTAAATCTTTTCTATACCTCCATCTTCCTTCGATCGAACCGAGAAACGAACAAATCTGAATCCCACATTATAATTTATCAGGATTATTCTAAATCTTTGTTTTTATTTTTTCATCGTTTCGTTTCGTTTCGCGTCGCCTAACTACCCTTAACGATCCAGAGAGTTTAGCCGCTCGGAAGTGGATCTCTGTCCCCGGTGGCCCGGCCACGGGGTCTCTCGTTTTATTTCCACGGAAAGCATTGAATCGGCTCCCGGTAGCGGCGAGATTTAAAACCGGTAGCACCGTATGCCCCGACCGGATTGTATATTTTTAGAACGACCGGCATCCTCGCGTGGGCGGACACGCTGGTCACCGATCCAGGAACCTGCGCCACCGTGTTGTTTCCACCGTGCACGATGATCCCCTTTTGTCGGCGGATCAACCTCGTCGCGGATTTCTCGGCTATCGTCCTTCTGGCAATATGGCGTGAAGCGAGGATAATTCGGCGGGATTTGGGGGAGCCACGCCAACGGTGCTGATTTTCGAGGAGAAATTTTCGGTGGTGGGACGGCAAGGGGTGGGCCTTTTACCGTCGTCCCGCTTCCTATTGAAGTTTTGTGCGGGGATTCCGTGTATGAATAATTTGGAAATAAAAAGTTCGTTCGTTTTTTATTGAAGATAAAAAAATATATATATTTCTCTGGATATTGGAGATATAAACGAAATTAATTTTTTTTTCACACCAGTTTCAAGTTTTTATTCCATTCGAAATGTTGCGGATAACTTGGAACATCGTATCCTCGAGTAAACTCTTTCTTTACGAAAATCGTTGTAATCAATCGATAGATAACGAAGAGAAAAATAAAGAAATATATAAACTAATAACTAATGATAAGTTCTTAGATAAGTAATAATGTTAAGTTGTCCAAAGTGTTATCCCCTCGCCGATATCCAGCGAGATACGAAAAAACGCTTTTTGCAATTTCTAACGATATAGGTATTGGATGCTACCATTGCTCGCGAAGTTAATAGCAAGAGCAGCGTTATTAAGCGACGTTCATGCCGGGTATCGAGCAAAAACGCGTCAGTTGGACGAGTAATTGACCAAGATGCAAGGATACGAATGAAAGTTCTCGGCGAGGTCGTCGAAGGCGGACAGAGTCGGGAAAAATTATGGAGGAGAATTATTTTAACTGTACTTCAACGTTTTCTGATCGTTGAATATATTTTTCAATACGTTTTCATCTTCTTCGCTGTAATTTTATTCTATTCGGAATAATATGATCATAAAATCGCGTGCTCTTCTTGTTTTCATACGATATAACTGGATTACGATGTAAAAAAGTGAACCAGTGAATCTTTGTGGAAGATTTCAAACGTATTATATTATAATGAAACGAGATTATTGCGATTTATCTAATAATGTTTCCTTTTTTTTTTTTATCCATCGAACGATAAAATTACTCGGTTGTAAATTTTTTTTTTAAAGAAACGAAACAAGCGAGTGAAAAAAAATGACTCGGTTGAGAATCACATCCGAAAGGTGACTCAACTTATCACATTTGATGTTACGAATTGCATTTCTTATCATTTTTTATCGGGTCACCGGGTGCGTTAACCCTATCCCGCCGGTTCATCGAACCAGATTTATTGCTTGTTCTGTGCAAATGTCGGCCCTGTCCGCCACGGTGGGAAATTATTAAAATAGCGTAACAATCTTCTACGTATCGCCAAGTCAGTAAGCCAGGTCATAAAAGAGTAAAAAGAATAACGGAAATACGGAATAACAATAGCCGGAAAACTGTGGCCGTGGATTATTCGTAATACAACCGAGCAAATCTCGACACCGGCTTAAAAACTCTACGATTCTTTCGCGAATTTCCAATAGCGTGTGGAAGGAACGCTATTGTTGTTTGCGTCCGTCGAATTCGCTAGCTGGACGAAACAAAATATCCCGTGTAAATAAAGAAGAAAATACGATCTATCGATATCTTGACCAAACAATAATAATACGTTTCTGCTGGTTCTGCTATTCGGGATCGAAACACGGTCGTTCGAGGCAAACATCGAAAGAGAATCCTACCTCAATCCATTATCTATAATAATAACGGATGTTACAAAAATCTCAATGTTAATCTCAAGATTATAACATTCGATTACGTGTTGCTCTTGGCTTTTCTTTTTCTTTTTTTTTTAATATTTTTTTCCCCGCAACGTCAAGTTTCCGTACGAGAAGCACTCACGCTTTCACTCTTATCGAGGACGGGATGCGATAATCGCGATAGGAGACGAGCAATAACGCGCGGCAAACATCTCTTCTAATCTTGGGCTAAAGCGGATCGAACGGGACACGGTGGAACGATTTATAGATCGCGCAGGTGCGAGGCTACGACTAATATCGGCAATTTAGTAATTCTGAAAGCGTCCACTCTTTAAACGCGTACAAATCGAAGTGAAAGAACTCCGCGTTCCGAGAAGTGTAACCGAAGTCAGTCACGAAAGCACAGAGACACGTGCACACGGACGCACGTAACACGACGAGATTTCTCGATAAGTGAACACTTCAATGTCGGAGGAAATTGTTTCTTTTTCTTTTTCTTTTTCTTTTTTCAGGTTTCAGTACAGTATTTTCTTCGACGTGCTCGAACGATCCGACAACGCTTGATTTCGATAATTTTGATCGGTGTGGTTATATAACAATGTTATTGTTGTTTGTTTACTTTCACTTATTATCTTTGAATTATTATCGATTAATGCAAATTTTCAATTAATTTTTAAAAAAAATCAAATCGATCTAGATGATCAAACCTTCCGTAAGATACCAATCTTATGATCACATCCTTATCAAATTTATCTACACCACTATTTATCTCATGGATATTATCTACTGTCGTGATTATAATGTATCTAAATCTATTTTTAACGCGTAGCTTCACACTTCACGTATGCAATTCTAAACGAAAAATTTCGAATCAAATTTCTAAAACCTTTTTTTTTTTTATTATATTTTTCTTAATTATAATCCATTCGTACATTTCGAATATCTTCAACTCGTCACGGCCAAACAAATTGTAAGGTTAGGCTAAATACAGACGATTGCGTAACCAAACAGTTGGAAGTGTAACGTTTCCCTTCCAATTTAGCAATTATATCGATCGTAACTGCGAAGGACACGACTATTCTCCTTTACAATTGAAATTACATAAAATCGAAGAGCGGAAACATAAAGTTTCGCGAGGGTGTTTGTTGTAGATGCGATAACGAGGCGACCGCAAACTTTCGAGACGGCCGCAAACGCTGATTCGTGTCGTCCAGTAGCAAGAAAACATAGAATTGTAGGTATCGAGTTCGTTCCACGAAAAAATCTATTTTGATCGCGCTTTCGCCGATTCTTTCGTCGATCAGAACCGATCGAGAGATGGCAAGTAAACACTACATGTTAAAAATTGCGGTGGGTCAGTGGTGTCAGTGGATCGCGTGCCACGATATCGATACTCGTTTTTGTTGGACTGAGATAACACTGCGATCGATTAACACTGATATTGGGTAAGAGGTGTAATCACAATACTTTTATTTGATTTTCTTTCCACTTGTGAGGAGTGAAAGTAAACAAGAATGCGCAAAAATTGTTACAGCAAATAAATAAATCCTTCCTTGTATATAAATATTATCTCGATAATACTTTTCGTGGAATCGATTAATTTTAACGAAGAAACGGTTGCGGTTATAATTTTTCCTACAATAAACAATTATCAGAACCTTGATCAACGTCGTGAAATCTTTAGAGAATTACTTTGCTTTTTAAAGTCGAATCACTATCTTCTGAGAAAACTTTTGTTGGAATCGTTTCTAAAAATTCTGCACGCGGAACGGTCATCGTGATCGGAATCCAGGTCGTATTAGGCTAAACCTGTCGATTCAAGGTCACGAGTAAAACATTGGAAGCTTCCGAATTTCGCAGTGATCTTCGTGATCGAAGAATCCACGTACATCGTTTAACCATTAAAAAAAATACCACCTTTACTTTTACCACGTAAAACAACCAAAGAAAGAAACAAGGATAAAGTTCGTTAAATCGATACATACATAGATTTATACATAGATTTCGAACATTTGGAATCCTAATTTTGCAATAACCTTCGATTGATGCGACATAATGAGAAATAAATTTCACGAGATTTATTCGAGAAGAAGATCGATTCAATGTCACACGCACAGACTTCAAACGCTTTGTTTGCAAGCTTTCGAACTTCGCGTAAATCTAATCCTTGACGCAGATACGAAAGAAAAATAAAAAAAAAACGACAAAGGAGAAAAAGTGAAACGAGGAAGCGGAGACAAAAAAGTGGAGGCGGAGAGGGTACGGATGATAGCGGACGAATGCTCGTCCAATGACTAAAGCCTGATGCACTCGCAGGTGCATGGACGTGCGAGGGCGTAATATGCAGGTAGACGCGCGGAAATTGTAGATAACCGCGAGGTATCATCAAGGTCGGAGATACAGTTCGTTTTGTTCGCCGAACAAAAAGAGTATCATCAGCCGGACTAATCGTGGGACACGCTCTGCCCTCTTAACGATAACCTCGAAAGCACGGGGAGCAGCCCACCCCTGCAAGCTGCTACGAAAACAGTATCCGGATGAAACGCCCCTCGCTATCCCTCGCATGCGCGCGATCTTGCATCGATAATCGCGATTAACGGATAATTCCCTTCGCCCCGACCTTGTCTAGAAAACGAAAGTAAAGAGACTTGGCGTAGATTCTCGACGATCCATGACGTGACGTTTTATTCGGCGCATTCCACGGAATTTCGCTCGTGGCGACCTTGGCTCGTGGCTATCGTCCAACCGTTCGATGACTAGGCTTACACGTGTTTGTTGTTTCGCCACGACACTATTTTTTTCTCTCTCTCTCTTTTGAAATAGATGTGCTCGGTTGAAAGAAAAATACTTCCTACGTACAATTTTTTGAGGGGAGGAGGAGAATTATCGAAATTTCGTCGATTTGCAAGATTAATCGGTCGGTTGGCGCGATCGATTAGAGGAGAGAAGCGGTTATTTGTTTACTCACCGTCAAGGAGAAAGAGATTCGCCGAGTAACGGAGCTGTTATTCCCCGGAAACACGTTTATCCAACAACAGGCTCTCCAAATTAATCTCTTGAAGTAAGTACGGGATGATTTAAGGAAAGCACTTTGGAGGCGAATAATTTTCAAATTGTCGGACGCGTTGGTGGTTAACTGAAAATCTCGAGCCGAGATTTATCGGGCCGTGACGGAGGGGTCCGGGACACGTGGCTCCGCTTGTTTTCCACCAATCGGAGCACAGTGCTCCGTGTCTCGCTATATTTTGCTTGGCCAATCCTGGTTTAACCTGCTCACCGCCTCCACCACCATTGGCAGATACCAGGCCGATGACTCGTGCGATCTTCGCCAAGAAACCAAACAGAATCCCTCGATCAGTAGCGGCGCGCGCCGCCTGCTATCTAGCGAATAAAAATTCGCGATCGGGCGGAGGGTGATGGCATCGTTGAGGAATTTTCGTCGCGTAATTAGCCGAGATATTTCCCCCTCCCCTCTTTCTCCCTTCCGCTCGTGTGCGATTTCTGCGACGCAATTTTACCTGGCCGACACGAACTTTGAAACGACATTGTTATCTTTTTTTTTTTCTTCTTCCTCTTCTTCTTCTTTCTCTTTCAAAGGATGAATTACAACTGCGACGATAGGCGAGGAAGGAGAGTGTTTGCTCTTCATCGAAGATGTGCTGTCGTGTGTGTTGACATTGTTGGAGAAGGTTTGTTGGATTATTGGTGACTAACGACACTTGTTGATTCGAGAATTATTAAATTTCCTCGTTTATCTTGGCCATTTCGATACGTGAAAAGACAA